TTTTGCATGTTTTGACTTCCAGAATAATTATGTTTGGTATATCATATTATTCGAACCTCCACAGTCGGTCATATGTCGGAAGTAGGTATGAATCAAGACTGTCATGATTGGTTGCAGAGGTCTAAGTTGTTGGACATGGCTACAACACTCATGAGTGCTCATAAGTTCTGAGCATTGGACTCAACCCACGCTCACTGGAATCACTTCATGGAATTTATCTCGAGTGATCGTGAGACGGTAATATCATATAAGTCTTCAAACCTAGAGATATGATTTGTTACTTATGAGTTGGTTATGCATTGATTGTACGAAAACGCATTGGTAACTCGATGTTATAAAACGTGCTCTTGTGTATAATTCAATGAGTGGTAGAACAAACATATGAGTCGAAGTTTATCTGTTCCTTCTTGGATTAGAAGCTGATATCTGGGCCCCTCGATGATTTTGTTTTGACCTATGTACCGGGCCCCGGTCAGAACTAAGTTGATGTGTTCAATTAAGTTCTTTGTCAAACAAATCGGAAATCGAAAAAAAAAAGAAACAAACTGTTGGACACAAAGTAAGACATTGTTCCATGTATTGTCCGGCTGATATCTAGAACAGAGGATTATATGATCACTTATCTTAAATGGCGTATCATCATCTTCTCAGTTCCGAGAGACCTTGAAAGAGCTACGATTCCGATCGGTTCCTGAAGTATTGCAATTATAGTTATTAGACTTATCCAAGTGGGAGACTGTTGGATAAGGTGTCTAAGTCCATAACTATTTCTGGTATGTACTTGACCCGACCCGGCATGGTCCATTTGGGTTGCATGGCACCATGCAATTGGATAAACTAAAATGAGAGAAATAACACTTATGGTTTATTAATATATTATAAGTTCTAATATATTAATAATATTATTTAATTAGTTTGATCAAGAATTAATTTAGAATTAATTAAGTGATCAAAAGAAACTAATTAAATATATGGGTAGATTATGTAAATCTTCCATATCTTATATAGTGGGCTAAGAGGCTCATGGATTATCAAGTTGGGTTCCACCCATAGGATTGCTCCATGGGAGTTACAAACCCATGGGTCATGGAAATGAAGAGTCATGACACATTAGGGTTTACATGGTGTAACCCTAGATGTGTCAACACTATATAAGAAACCCATTCTCCCAAAATAGGCTACACATAAGAAACAAGAGGGCTAGAGCCGATTTTTGCAAGTGTAAGATTCTCTCAAAGTTTACTCCTTGCATTTGGTGTTGTGTGAAGCATTTGAGGCATCACACTTGGGGTGCTAGGCTCACAAGGTTTCAAGGATCATAATCAACAACAAGGTAAGTTATTCTATCTTTCATTCAAGTTAAAAATGTTCCCATGTATGCTAGATAGGAATATAACCTTGGAATTCAACTTTGCATGATTATTAGACAAACAAACATACATCCAAGGTTACTAGGGTTGCATGTACACTTAGGAAGAGTTAGAATGCTCAAAACCCATCAAATACATGCCCTACTATGCTCAAATAGGGTGTATCCTTGTCCTTAAGCATCTCAATCCCCAATGACAACCTGCTCATGCTCTAACATTACCTCTCGACAGACCTACTGCCCAAATACTCTAATGAAGATCTTAACCAACGTTACCCCACAGGGCTCACCCCAACCTTGGAAATCGAAAATTCATACCCTCCTGTTTCCCACAGGACACTAAATAACACCGCTCAGGTCACAGCAAACGACACCTCCACCTTCGGCTGATGCTCAACTCAGTGCTGTAATCCTCTATAACCGCCATCTCTACTCATTCCTGAGTCTTGCGACTCCAACTCGACATCTCACCAAAAATCCCTCGGCTAACTCGATTCCCTATTAAGGGTGCTTCACTAAAACTCGTTCACTTTTCCCTTTTCTCCCCCCCCTCTCACCTGGCCCTCAGCCCCATAATCTTCCACCTTGAATCTGGTTAACCAATCACCCGGGGAACGTAGACCAATAACACTAACTTCCAAGGGTCATGGTACTCGAACCACATGGCCACCTCTCGATCTGCTTGAATCACGGTCCCGAACCCATGTTACTCTTCTCAATCGCTACGAATCATGGTACTCGACATGCATCACCTCTCGATCTGCTACAAATCATGGTACTCGAACCTTGGAATCACCTCTCAATCAGCTACCAATCATGGAACTCGAACCAGACATCACTTCTCCAATCGCTCAATCATGGGGAACTCGAACCATGACATCACCTCCAATCTGCCAACCAATCAATGTGAACTCGAACCATGACATCACCTCTCAATCAGCTACCAATCAGGAACTCGAACCATGACATCACCTCTCAATCTGCTACCATCGTGGAAATCGAACCATGACATCACCTCTCAATCTGCTACTCAGAATCCTCCGGATACTCCTGCATCGAGTATGTCCTGCTTTCAGTAGTACGGGCCACATACTACCTGCCACATTACCCATACTCTCTACACGGACCATCCCAGATTCCCTAAGTAGTTGCTCAACCTTCTCAGCCGTCAATCTTATTACGCGTGCTCGCTCCCCAGTGAAGTGAAATGCTCTAACTCTGTCAGACACTCATCTGACATGATCACCCCTAGGTCTCCCTAGGTCCTCACACCTCTCGCCATCAGCAGCTGAAGAATCCTAATGATGCCAGCCATCTACCTCCTGAATATCGTCAATCATTACTTAGTAGCTGACTCCCATCATCGAGAGTCCCACAAAGCACAAAGCAAGCAGCATTCGGGATCGAATGAATACGTAGAACTCAACTCTAGGTGATAAACTAACTTGCTCTGCTCATATTAAAAGATATCACCGAACTCTGCAAACTCTATCCCTCGCGGGGTATCTAGCTACTCTCTCGATTAGGCTCCATAATGCTCATCTAGGCATCTCTCCTAGATTACTCCTGTACTCAATCCTTCTCTACAAGGATTCCGCTGGATTCTCCCTACTTAGCATACACTCGGAAGTGCATAACAGATAACAGTAACTCCTAGGCTAAGGCATCACAATCAGGCCAACTCTTAGTCCTAACATATGAAATACCTAGGCTATCTCTAGCATGCATAATATCTCATAGCATATCTCATAAAGATTTCATAATACAAACGTAAAGGGTATTTGGGAAATCACCGTTCGGGCTTAGCTGATTGTACCACACTGCTCCTTCTTTTTTTCTCTTAGAAACTCTTGTTTGCTTTAGAAAAATCATTTCTTTGAATTTTTCTCAAATCTTCAGTTTGAGTCCAGATTTACCCGAAGGTGCACCCGAATCCCTCAAACCAAGGCTCTGATACCAACTTGTAACACCGTAAATTGTTCAAACAGATTTTTCATTTTAAAATCGCATACTTTTCATAACATATTGTATGGAAGTCTCGTTTATTCAAATTACAAAAACACAACTCCATTAAAAAATCCAGGATCCTCAAAACATTAACTCTTTCTCTGGTGTGTACAATCAAGCCGGTGCCTTCCTGCGATTCCTGAGAACAACCTGAAACACATAACACATAACGAAGCTTAGTGAGTTCCCCAAATACCACATATAACACATATTAGCCACTCGAGGCTATAACTCTGTGGACCCTTGGTCCTAACTCTGTAGACCCTCTGGTCCTAACTTGTTAACCTCCGGTTTCCTAACTCTGTAAACTCTGGAAACATTACACAACATAAAATCCAGAGAAGAACTAATGCAGTGCATCACAATCACATAAATAGATAAAGCTTACTGTCAATAACTCTATTACCACTCTAGGTAGTATAGTGAGAAGACTCACCTCGGATAATCTCGAAGGGCCTCGAATTCGAAATACTGATCTAGCCTCCGCCTATTCACAATTAAATTACTCTTAATCAAAATGGCCTCAAAGGCTAGACAAGTCTCTTACTAGGCTTCTAGAAGGGTAAAAGACCCTTCTACCCCTCCCTGCCCAAATAGCCCACTGGTTGACTAAACCCTAAAAGTCAACGAAGTCAGCGGTCAACTCTGACCAGACTCGTCGGTCGAGTCAGGCAATGACTCGGTGAGTCCACACGTGAACTCAAGTCCCCTAAGCCCCATTTGACTCACCGAGTCACTCACCCAACTCGGCTGATCATCAACTGACATGAGTCGCGGGACAACCCGGTCCGACTCGTCGAGTCTGCTCATGGACTCGGCGAGTCCATTCCATGCTCAAACTCAAATGACCATCTGAGGTCAGATCTGTTCCTCTAATCCATGGATCTGACCTTCCCAAGCTCAATAAACACGTAAAGGTACAACCTTGATACACATGCGACGCTCATAAGACTCAAAATGGAGAAATCACTTTCAAAATGGCAACCAAAGCTCATGACTCTAAAGGATTAGCATAAAGCAAGCTGGATAGGACTCTCTGGACCTCTTAAGTTCCAGATCTAGAAGGAATTCCACCTTGGGACCTCATAAGCTTCACAATCAAGCTAAAGAAGGCATAAGAAAACCCTAAAATCAAGCTATCCATCAAATACACAAGAATGAGTGTAGATTTGTACCTCCAATAACACCCTCTGACCAGATAATAGCAAATCGAAGCTCCTTGGTTCACCAAGCTCGTCCTCCTTCCTTCTTCCTTGAAAAATCCACACTAGAAATGAATAAAATGGCCTACTCTCTCACTTACTATGCTCTCTGGTGCTCTGGATCTCTCAAGAGGAAAGGGTGGCCGCAATGAAGGCCATAAGAGCCTTTAAATAGGCCCACAAACCCGGGGATTAGGGTTTCTGTCTACAGCACTGACTCGGCGAGTCAGATACCCGACTCGTCGAGTCCATCCATTTGACACGACTCCAATCCGCGACTCAACTCGACGAGTTGAGGAGCCATCTCGTCGAGTCCCCCTCACAACTCATGCCTATTCAACCAAAAATGCCAGACCCCTGATATCAGGATTTTACATCTGACCTCCCAGCCTCCTTTGAAGAGACGCAGAAATGATCCAAGGATGGGAGTATTTTTTCCTGACCTGACTCAAACTACCGTGACTCCTCTATCTTTAACATTCGCCCCATCCTCGTTTGTACCCACTCAAGAAGGTCCCAACTCAATCCATGAAGCTGGTGGTTCGTCTGCTGGTTGATAAAGACTAACTCATGCTAGCCGCAAACCAAGGGGGAGATTGAAAGGTCATAGTATATGGTTTGGGCTAGGCATTACATGTATAGATGAGTTAGGGCATTTGAGATTGTATTTTGGAGTCTATTGTGTGTGTTTGACGTTTTCGGTCTAGGCAAGCTTTCGGTTGGGAAGTGACCGAAAACAGGTTTTCGGTCTGCCTGACCGAAACCTGTTTTCGGTCCAGTTGGATATAAATAGTCTTGTCAGGTTGTCAGTAGTTTTTGTTGATCCACAGTTGTTCATTACAGTTTTCGGTCCATTGAGTTGTATCAGACGGTTTCATGTGTTAATCGTATGCAAGCTCAAGTTCATTTAATCTTCTACTCATTTTCTTCTTTATTTTCATTTGCTTGATTGATCATTGGTATAGATCCTTCCATCCAGGACCTTAGATGATCGTTGCTGCCTTCTTTCTTAAATGATTAGTCTTTTAAAAATGGCGCATACCCTCTCTCAAAAGGAAAAGACAATATTACCCTTGTGTGCCTTGCACGTGATGTGTTTTAACGGAGGCTTTTAATATCTGTTAGACACAGGGACTAAGCGTGTAACAAGTTTCCAAACTGAGGACTGTGCAAGAGTAAAAATAGAGTTAGGACTCAGCGTGAAAGTTACTCCAAACCACAGGGACCATCTATGTAATTTATATATTATACCTTATGACATCTTAGCTAAAAGACATAATGCCTTAAGTTCAAAAAGATGTACATGACTTTATATATTATAACTTATGATATAAATCATGATACTTATCATGCAATAATATTATTTTCATAAAATAAATAATTTATGATTAATTACAAGAATTATATTTATTTATCAATTAAGAATCAATTTCTTATAAATAATATATTTGAATTAAGTTGTTAGTGTGACCCTTTAGGATCATATATTATTATCAAATATTATTCTATAATGATTATTGAGAATGTAGATCTTTTACGCCGTGCACCACCCTATGGCCTCATCTCGTGGCAATTCTTGGAGATTGGAACGCTGGGCAACGATGAAGGGATAAAAGGAGACGGTGGAGATGACTGTTGAAAAAAATGATGTTTGTGTGGAAATTAAAGTGGCGTGGTGAGTATTTCCTAACAAATATGGAATGATATGAAGATAACATGACATATAATGTGACAAACAAAATGGTGTGGAGGGTGTGACCGATACCCACCAGCATGAGGATGAAAAAAAAACCCCATACCCGATGGGGAACCCGGAACCCGCACACAGATCCGGGAATCCCCACATTGACCGGGGAAGAGGAATCCCCAAATAAAAATGGGGATGTGGATAGGGAGGAGAATACATTTAGTCCCTGGACACGACCCCGATATATATTAATATATAAAAATAATAATAAACATATACAATACCTAAAATTTGATCCAAGTAACTCAACTCATTAGTAATTACTAGTTTGAAATTACACATTTCCTTCTTCTTTTATCTAACTTAATCTCGTGTATAACATTTTTCTCGTTTATGTATTGTTATTTCAAATATTACTCTGAAAAAAAATTTCGACTTCAGTTTCCATGCTTGTATTTAAATTTGGTAGAAAATTTATTTATGTTTTTATACAATATATGAATATTTTTATGTTTTTTAAAATCTTTAAACTTATGTTCGTAAAATTTAAATTTAGAGTTTTTCTTTGCCTAAAAGTTTTCTTATTAAAGTAGAAATTTTTTTTTCTCGATTCTCGTTATCCCCAATCCCCATTGGGCGGGGGTGGGGATGTAAATTCAATTTTATTCCTCGATGAGGATGATGATGGGGATTGAAATGTGGATGATGATGAGGATAGGATGGAGATTAAGGTCCCCGGATTCCCCATCCGTTTCCATCTCTACACCAGCACTTGGTTAAAATTACCTAGTTAAAATTTGTAATTTCATGGAATTTGTTATATAACAAATGTCATTCCATTTTTAAAATTTGACTTAATAGTATGATTAATTTTATGTTTTCTTGAAAATTTCCCTGATAATATCATTAATTATAGAATTTATATATTTTTTAATTTTGTCTTATTGCTACTTAAAATATACTCTAACGAATATAATATTTATAATTATCTTGAATTTGGTGGACACAATATCATTCTTATCTTCGAATTTGCCTTGTTCTAAATAAATATCTTTACCTGTACACAAGGATTAAAAACGGAAGCAGCACCGTTCCTTCCACTCGATCGTAAGGCAAAGGAAAACCCGAACATCATCGTTGACTCTCCTCTCTGGCCATCTCCTTTCCTCATTAGGTGATTGAATTTTATTTTATTTCAGTTCTTATTCAATCCTTTAAAATTGCTTCCTCCATTCCATTATATTTTTTAATTCATAACACGATTTTTATATTTGATTCTTTTGGAATGATGCTATCTGCTCCTTAATGGTAAGCTAGACGCTCATAATGAACAAGCTTCAATATTCGATTTTCATAATGTGTGTTTTGTTTACCATTGAAGTCACAACTTAATGATATCTTTATGCTCTTGTATAAACTATAGAAAACGCATGCCATATTAGTTTCAAAAACATATCATTTGGAACTTAAAATTTAGTGACACTTTAGATAAGATGTATGCTGATACTAGATCCAGTGATAAAAGAACTTAAATTTGAGAAGATTGTTATTGGTAATTTTGGAGATCCATAGACAACCATGTCAAGAAATTTAATATTTTTTTTGTTAGATTCAATTGTTTGTTGATATCTAGTAAAAGCTTTAAATTTTATATATGTTTTGCAATTTCTTTCTTGGGAGGTAAAAGTGGATCTTGGTATTGTTTCGAGGCTGGTATTTGGTGCTGATTTGTTTGAGAATTACTTTACTTAAGTTCAAATGGATTTTACTTAGACAACAATAGGAATGTTTATGTGGGTTAATCAAATGAAAACAGAGGCACTGTAGGTTAAATGTGTAAACTGATTTGTTATTTTCTTGCACCAAACTTAGTCAGAAAAAAAGGTTAACTAATTTAGTTAAGTGGGTAAGAGCATTTAAAATAAATTTCATGTAAATATAATGGCTGTTCTATATCAGTATATATCTATATATATGTTGGCCAACGGATCCAAAAACCTGTCACATAATTATTGATATTGCAGAGATTTATCAGACCGTCTTTGTATTTCAAGTACAGCAGCTTTTGTTCTCTTCCTTTTCCAATGTTAAAACGCCTAAGCTTCATTCCCATATGTCCCTTTCACACAAAACAACCGAGTTTAGCACTAATTAAGCTATAGATATGCCTTTGAACACAAAAATCAATATCAAGGGTTTAAATATGCACTATATAGCTCCAAAACCAACTCAAAACCCAGAGGTGCATATGTATTGTATTTTAATCACTTAGAGTTTTATTTGAGAATTAAAAGCTATTGCTATTATTGAGGTTTAAGTTATTTGATGAGATTTAAGTTGCATATTTTAAATACTAATAATTTGGAGTTTATGTACAGGCATTATGTACTGATCCTGACATTGAACCGCTGAAGATTTTCAGAGCTTACCGAGATACACAAAATCCTGGGATCTTCATCCTCTTCTTCATCAACCCATAAATCCTAATGGTTGTTCTCTCTGAACTCCTCCCAGAAGGATCTTCACCTTCTTCATCAATTCATGGTCATAGTTCATCAACTGATGGTTACAGATATGATGTATTCTTAAGTTTTAGAGGTGTTGACACTCGTTATAGTTTCACCGATCACCTTCATAAGGCCCTCATTGATGCCGGTATCAATACCTTCTTGGATGATGAAGAGATTGAAACAGGGGAAGATCTTAAACCGGAATTGAAGAGTGCAATTAAGGCATCTCGGGCTTCAGTTATCGTTTTGTCCAAAAATTATGCTTCTTCAACATGGTGCCTGGATGAATTGGTGTTGATCCTTGAACAACGTATGACATCCAACCATATTGTTATCCCAATATTTTATCATGTGGAGCCCACACATGTCAGGAAGCAACAGAGTAGTTTTGGAGATGCAATGGCTAAGCATAAACAGACAATGGAGGCAGAGACAAATGCAAATAAAAGAAGTCAATGGGCTCAAAAGATGGACCCATGGAATAAAGCACTTATTGAAGTTGGCAATTTAAAAGGAAATGATGTAAAAGGAAGGTAACCACATTCTTACCCATATTTCCATACGCATTCAATTTTGTTTGATTAAGGCATGAATGTCAATATCTTCTTCTCCCTGTGCATTTCAATAAGTTTTCTCAATATCATCAAATAGTTATGCATTTCATGTATTAGGACAAAGAAGATGCACAAACTTGAATCTAAGCCTCATGTTATGTGATCTCATAATCAATTCATAAAGATAGATTAACCTTTATGATAAATGCACATGTGTGTTGTTTATTTAGTATTTTATCATATGATAGTTCATTTAGATAAACCATTCCAATTATTTTAATATACCCTTTCTAATAAACCGAAATCACAAGCAATAACCCACCATTATGTTATGACTTGAATTGAAATTAAGGAATAAGCTCAGCTAAACAAGAAAACGGATGGAAAATGGGTATATATGAATTGAAGTGATTCCAACTAGTAATTTGAGAGGCTAGACTCTCAAATAATGATAGCAATTCTAGCAATCTAACAATAATGATAACAAACCTTATTCCCTACCACTACTAACACCCTATTCACGAGTTCAACTTAACGATGAAAGAGAAGGGAAATGGATGGAGTTGAAAAGAAAGGAATAACAAATTGGTGCTCCTTAGTTTTTTTTAATGAAAGGAATTCGGAAGATAACTTTCCCTCTTACTTTCCTTTCAATTTGGAAGGATTTGAAAGAAAGGAAGAAAATGTTTATTTTCCTTTCACTACTCTCCAACTTGGGATACCCCTTTCTTTTCTCTCCTTATCTTCGTTCCCCTTCTTTTCAATTCCTTTCTTTGGTAAAACTCCTGAATAAGGTGTAAATGACATCTTTCCCAAACGGAACAAAAAATACTAGAATTGCCCTTGCACCAACAAACCGGTACTCTGTCTTATCAAAATTTCCCTTTTCGCACACCCTATTTAGCATACTTATATTTGAGTGGTGGCTTAGCAATACCCCACCCCAAAGAGCCACCTTGTCTTCAGGGTGGAAAATTGGAAACTTATTGTTAACTGTTTCCACATCTTCCCATGTAGCTTCATATTCTGGACAATTCTTCCAGACTTCCACTTAATTAGCACTCCGTGGTACGTATTTGAGGCCTGACTTATGGAACACACTCCCATTAGGACCTAGGACTTCTGATTCAAATTCCATCTCCAAGTTGAATGGCCGGAGGGTCTGTTTGATCTTCTTTTGCTAGATTTAGTGTCTGGAAGTTGTAATCGGTATGCTACCTAACCGACTCACTTCAAAATTCTAAAAAGACCATGAAATCGTGGAGCTAATTTTTCATTTGAGTGTCTAACCAGAGATTGTTGTTTTCTGTAGGGTTGAAGTTTGATGTAGACAGGACCTCCCAACTTCAATGTCCACGCCTTTCATTTTACTATCCTCCCAATATTTCATATTTTGTTGCGCATGAAATAGATAGAATTTAAGCTCTCGTCCAAAATGGCCTCTCTTTCACGCAGTTGATCTTCCAAAGTTGACACCATCATTTTAGGAGTAACTAATTGTCCTTTGTACAACAAAAACTTTGTTCGAGCAAAAACTTTAAACTTCTTTGATCTCTTCGTATAATGGAGTGCCTCCCTTGGAGTTAATGGCCCCATTTTTGTACTTCCATTACTATGCCCATAAGTTCTTTGTCACGAATAGTCTTCTTCTCCATCCCCTATGATTTCTCTCATCTATCAAACCAAAAATCCAAAAAAAAAAAACCTTCTTCTCCCCTCACACCTCCAATTTCTCCATCTCCAAATCCTCAAAACCCACGTCATGATGATGAAAAAAGTTACAGGTGAATGAATGGGGAGGAATCACTGGCAGGGTCAATGTGATGAAGAATAGCGATGGTGGTAGTTAAACGGGGAGAGGTGATGCTTTTCTAGGCGAAGAGTGGGCTAAGGTTTTTTGGTTTGTTAATTTAGATAACAACAATAAAAAAATTAAAATTGAATATGAAAGGTCAGAGTAGTCATTTCACAGTCATTTCACAGGTGGCCCATATGCGATATAATTTGTACTACACTAGTAACTTTGGTCTTTTCATACATAAATATTATGACCTTACACATTATATGTTTGTATGGTTAGAAGTGTAAATACGATATGATTTTGATGTGAAGAACTTAATTAATAACAATAGTATGGTATAGTTTTGATTTGATCTTTAAATCCCAAATCTTGTTTGTTGGTTTGTAGATTGTGTATTGAAGTTCTTATTAAATCAATTTTCAGGCTAGAGACAAAGATCATTGAAGAAATCGTAAAGGACATCCACCGTAGATTACATGTAACCTTAAAAAGTGCTCAACTACTATTTATTGGGATGGACTATCATATTAATTTCGTCACTTCATGGTTGAAAGATGGATCCTCACATATGGTTGACATAGTCACTATTTATGGTATAGGCGGGATCGGGAAAACATCTTTAGCCAAACATGTGTATGGGCTATATTCATGTGAATTCCACACAAGTAGCTATATTGAAGATATCACAAGGAAATGTGATGGAAAGTTTAATGGGTTGCTTGATTTACAAGAACAACTCTACAACGACATTTCAAAAACAAGTTCAATTAAAGTTCATGATGTGTCAACATACACCACAAAGATAGAGAAAGCACTAGCCCGTAAAAGGATCCTTCTAGTTCTTGATGATATAAGTACTCTTGTTCAGTTGGATGCATTACTTGGAAGAAAAGGTTTTCATCCGGGAAGCAAAATTATAATTACAACAAAGGACAGTTGGTTGACTGAGAGTTGTGCACTATTCAAAACAAACATTAAACCTAAGCATGTAAAACACTTCCTTGAAGGCTTACATAAGACTGAATCAAGACAACTTTTGTGTTTTCATGCATTCATGTGCAACTATCCCAAGGCAGGTTTTGAAGAGGTGTTAGATAAGCTTGTGAAGTATTGTCAAGGACATCCATTAGCTCTTGAAGTTTTGGGCAAGTCTGCATAATCGAGATGTAGCCTATTGGGACGAATGCATAGAAGGGTTAAAGAAAGAAACAAGTTCCCATATACATAATGTCTTGAGAATGAGCTTTGATTCTTTGTCATCCAACAATGATAAGGAGTTGTTTAAGCATATTGCTTGTTATTTTGTTGGAATAGATAGAGATGTTAGTGAGACAATATTAACGGCATGTGATATAAACACAAGATCTGGAATCAGGAATCTCATTGACAGATGTCTTCTTAGTATAGGATGGGATAACGAATTGAAGATGCATCAGTTGGTTCAAGAGACGGGAAAATTTGTAGTACGTCAAGAGTCGGTTAACAAGCCATGGAAGAGAAGTCGAATATGGTGTCATAAGGAGTCATTCAAAGTGTTGAAACAAAAAAAGGTGAGAGCTTATGTATACTTGTTGGTAGTGTGCATATTTAAATTACTTTTTATTATCTCATTTTATTTTTTGGCCATCTGTTTGTTCTTAGGGTAAGGGAAATCTTCTAGGCCTTGCCCTTGACATGCGCATGCTTGAGAAAGAGAAGTTGGGTGGATCATTTGAGCTGAAAACAGAAGCATTGAGTAACATGGATAGTCTGATGCTACTACAACTCAATTATGTGCTTATGAATGGGTCTTATCAGAACTTTCCTGAGGAATTAAGAAGCTTGTGTATGCATGGGTTATGTGCTTATGAATGGGTCTTATCAGAACTTTCCTGAGGAATTAAGAAGCTTGTGTATGCATGGGTTTCCTTTAAAGTCTATACCTTCAGGCTTACCTATGAGGAATCTTGTTTCTCTTGACATGTCATATAGCAATATTGAATCATTTGCCGGTTGTTACAGCAATCTACAACGACTTGAGAAGAGGCAAAAGGTAACTTATCTTCATTCATTATTCATCCTTGCCGAGTTAATGAAATTCATTGTTATTCTAACTTATTTCCATTTTTTTTTGCAGTTGGATGAATCGTGCTTAAAAGACAAAAAGCTGCTTGGATCGTTGAAGATTCTTAATTTAAGTTTTTGTAAACAACTTCGTAGTCTTTGTGAATTTGACCAACTTCCTGCACTTGAGAGGTTAATAGTTAGAAATTGCATTGGTTTGTTTGAGGTTTGTGAATCAATTGAGCGATGTGTTGAACTTGTCCTCATTGATCTGAGCTACTGCAAAAAGCTTGAAAAACTTCCAAGAAACATAGGCATGTTAAAGAATGTTAAAACATTGTTGCTGGATGGTTGTAATCTCAGTGATTCTCAAATCGAGAATAGGGATATGGATTCACCAGAAATTTGCAAGGCTAACAACATGGTCATAAACATAAGAACCTCTTTCTCCGCGTTAATGGGTGCTATACCAAGTGATTTGAAGTTTTTTGCAATATCTTTACCGAGGTCTTTAGTAACTTTGTCACTGACAAATAACAATTTGTCCAATGAATCCTTTCCCATGGACTTCAGTTGCCTATCCATGTTAAAGGAGTTATATTTAGATGGCAATCCTATCGATTCCATGCCTAGTTGTGTGAGAACTCTTCCTAGGCTTGAGATACTTAGCATGCAAAACTGTGAAAAATTGAAGTCAGTTGAGCGTCCTCCACGTACACTAAGCAGGTTGATGCTCTTTTCTCATGGGCGTTCTATAGATAAAGTTGTATTTGATTTGCAAATGTCCCCACTCAAGTTATCACCATTCCGGATAGCTTGGCCATTCGAAATTGAAGGCATGATCAAAATCCAACCAATGGTATGTGTTGAGGAAAAGGTATTACGTAGCTTGGGCTGGACTAATCTAGAATTCGTTAACAAAGGGTGCATGGGAACTACTTCGGAATTTGAAATAGAGGTTTTTTCTAGTTAATTGTTTATCTTTATGTGAACATGTATAATTTAAATATTATGGAGATTAATTAAGGTGGTTGTATTGACAGATGATTTATGAATTTGGAATATTCAGCACATTGTATGAGGCGGAGGAGATGCCTAGTTGGTTTAGGCATAGAAGCATGGGGCCATCAATATCATTTACCATCCCATCATCATCTCCAAACAACCTCCTTACAGGACTCAACTTCTGCTCTCTGCACACAATGAAACCTACCAGTGAGTGGCCGTTATTCCCTGATGATGATCCGTTCCCTTTTTCTCCAATGATGACAATTAGTAATATAACAAAGAACCGCATGTGGATATACGAAACATCGAAAGGACAGATATATTCCAAATCAAAAGTGTTGGGTGATGTTAAGTCATTGGATGTTTGGGATGAATGAGATGGATGCTGGTGACCACGTTACTATTACTGTTACAGATCACGGTGATGAACTTACAAAGGAGTGTGGGGTGAGTCTTATGTACGATGATGGAGAGAAGATAGATGAAGAAGAAGATGCATTGGGTTATTACAAGTCATGGAATCACATAATTGGTGGAGATCTCTCTCCTTTTCAAACAATGACAGGAGAATACATCCTACTCAACAGGCGGTTTTTTATGTATGGCATTTACTTGTCTCCCTATCATTGTAAATTTATTACAGACGGCCCCGACTATCAAGGTAGATGTCATTTTTATTAAATTTTCTATTTTCGTATCATATGATCCAAATCCACCAATTTATTATTGATTTTATTGACTTATAAGATAAGATTTTGTTTTTATAAATTATATATACAAAAATAAAAGTTCTACTTTTAAATTTTATATGAATTGAAACATGTATTGATCCGTCTAAATGGGTCGATCTCTTATGTCAGTTGACTATGTCTTTTGATATGTTGGACCACATAAATATATTTATGCTCAATACAAGTTGTGTTCAGAACAAAAGAAAGGGTCCTGGTTCAGAGCTTTATCTCAAAGGAATCCTGGCATAATTGGTAACTCACGTAAGGTATACTTTTTCACACCCAAGCTTCCTATCATATGACAAAATAAAAAGAGGGATACACAACCAAATAAGTTATCATTATATCTCTGTATGCTTATGTAACTTTTAAAATTTTCTTACTTTTCCTTTATTCATAGGGTAATGGGGAATCTTCAAGGTCTAATCCTTCATGTTAAACTGCTTGAGAAAGAGAGGCTGCATCTAACCGAAATACTCTAAATCAAAATAGATGCATCCTAATTTTCCAGAAGAATTAAGATGGTTTACTTGTTGTACCCATTTATGTTATGGGTTTTTAATTTCATATATTTTTTTATTTATCTTTAGTTGTGAAAGATAGGTGAAAAGAACATGTAAGGAATATGATTCAATTCGTCATGCTGTTTAATTTGATAACTTTCTATATTCGATATTTTCTTGATTTGGTTTATGTGATTGAAGAAAAAAGTAGATTGTAATTGCAGCTATTAAATTGGACGTGTAACTGTATTATAATATATGTGGTGTGGCTATTAAATTTATGTTCATATTGAGGACTTAAATTAGCTTTTAGATGCCCTTGGATATGTTAGATTTTCGGAGTAATAAAGGCACTTGGATATTCAGAATTTGATTCCACTTTCAAAATAAAGTATTTGGGTGGTACTCCCTAAACTTTGATTGGATAAGACTCAGAAGAGATTTAGAATAGAGAAGAGATTCAGAATAGAGAATGAAAGTGAATTGGTTAAAAACCTTCTTTGTTTGAAAACTGTCAAAACTGTCATAAAACAGTTTTTTCAACATACAAAAACTGTCATAAACCCTTTTTCTATAAGGATTAATGCAAAACAAAAAACGGGTCAAATATTCAAAATTTGGATTTTTGATGCATTCAAATATTCAAAATCCGGTCTGAAAAATTTAGATTTCGACCCCATCCAAGGGTTCTGCCCCTTGGACCCTGCCAGGGGTTGCCGCCCCTTGGACCCCGCTCCCAGGGGCGCATCCCGCGGACCCCCGTTCGTTTAGGGGCTTCGCGCCTAAAGGACAGTCTACTTTTAATCTTGAATAAACCTAAACAAGTGTGCACTCCGCACCTTCCTTACTTTTTAATATTCATCAAGATTGATTTTTGGTCAACAAAGTCAACCCATTACACTTAAATACAATTAGTGAAACAAATCACCAACAAAACCTCCCCCATTTAAGTGTAATCTTGATTAACGTAAAACAAAAAACATAACAAACTGATGCATAAATGAAATATCGTGACGATTGAATTTCACATTAGTATATTACTCATTCCAAGTATTCGAATATCAGGGTGTCACCAAGGATTGAACCCTTTCTATTCTAAGTGAATACATGAAGATAATATACAAAACAAGTCAACTTGGCACTATATTTTTACTAGCTTGTGTCCCATCCTTCAATAAACATATCAAAGTCAAGTCTCAACTTCTTGAAGCAGCTAAACTTCATGCTTATATAGGTAGTTCTTTTGTTCTTGCACCTGCAAGTGCAATTTTTCAAAGAACAATTAAGAAATTAAATTTCAACCTCCTTAACTTGCAGTACTGAACACATACCCTGGGATGATGATAATAATGTTTTCCAATCTTGAAATATCAAGCTTTCCACATTGAATTCAACATCTAATATTGCATTAGATGGGAATTGGGTATCTTAATGTAAAAGATTTTAGGTGGACTTTAAACCCAACCCTACAGCCGCCTTGTGCACAAGATCTCTAGCTAACCCTTTGGTTAAATGATCAGCTAAGTTCAATTGAGTTCTCACAAACTCCACAGATATCACACCAGTCATGATGAGCTCACAAATCATGTTATATCTAACAACTAAATATCTAGACTTCCCATTATACACTTGACTATAAGCCTTAGCCAAGGTTGCATCACTATCACACCTGATAGAAATGGTAGATATCGGTTTTGGCCAGAGTGGAATTTCATAAATCAAATTCCTTAGCCACTCAGCTTCTTTACCAGCAGCAGACAATGCAACAAATTCAAATTCCATGGTTGAGTTAGTAATACAAGTCTGCTTCATGGATGCCCAAGAAATGGCACCTCCTCCAATAAGAAACACCCAACCACTTGTAGAGGAGTGATCCTCTAAGTTGTTAATCCAGCTGACATCGGAATAACCTTCCAAAATAGAAGGATATCCACTAAAAGTTAAACCATAATTCATGGTCTCTTTCAAGTACTTGAATATTATACTCACACCTTGCCAATGATGTGTACTAGGATTACTAGTATATCTACTAAGCATTCCCACAACATATGCTATATCAGGCCTAGTACTGATCATGGCATACATTAGACAACCAATAGCTCTTGAATATTCAAGTTGAGACATTGGAGATCCTTTATTAGGTAGAAGCTTGAGAGTGGGATCTATAGGAGTACTAACAGGAGAACAATTCTCAAAATTAAACTTTTTGAGAAAATTACACGAATGGTCCCTATGGTTTAGGGTAATTTGCTTGTTTGGTCCCTAACTTATTTTTTTAACTCGGAAGGTCCCTATTGTTTGTTTTTGTTACGCGCTTGGTCCCTGTCTTACCTAAAAAACCTATTTTGCCATTGGTTTTTTAATTTATTTAAATAAACACACCACCAACCTCATCCCCCTCACCTTACCTTATCTACTCCACCATTTTTCTCTATTTAAATAATAGTCTTTTAGGTAAGATAAGGACCAAGCGCGTAACAAAAACAAACAGTAGGGACCAATGGCGTAACAAAAACAAATAGTAGGGACTTTCCGAGTTAAAAAAACAAGTTAGGGACCAAACGCACAAATTACCCCAAACCATAGGGACCATTCATGTAATTTACTCAAACTTTTTCAATATCTTCTCAATGTTATGAGACTGAGAAATTGAAATCTTATTGTTTCCTTGTTTAATTCTTATACCAAGAATCACCTCAGCCTTCCCTAAGTCTTTCATTTCAAATCTAGATGATAAGAATTTCTTGGTTTTATCAACTTCTTCTAAATCAGTACCAAAAATCAACATATCATCCACATATAGACAAATCATAACTCCTTTACCAGAAGTATCAAATTTGCTATATACACACTTGTCAGCTTGGTTTAATGCAAAACCATTAGACAAAACCACATCATCAAATTTTTGATTCCATTGTTTTGGTGCTTGTTTCAAACCATATAATGATTTCTTCAACTTACACACTTTGTGTTCACTTCTAAGCATCACAAACCCTTTAGGTTGTTTCATGTATATTTCCTCATCTAAGTCACCATTCAAGAATACAGTTTTCACATCAATTTGGTGAATCACAAAACTAGGTATAGCTGCAAGAGCTAATAATAATCTATTGGATTAGGTGTCTAAGCCCATAACTATAATTGGGATGTACTTGACCCGATAGTAGCATGGTCCTTTTGGGTTGCCTTCATACTGGTGACTAGACAGGATGACTATCGAGGAAAGAGGTTGATTTATTGTTAAGAATAATAAATTGGGGAATAAATATGATTTATTAATATATTATATGAATAATATATTAATTAGAAATCATATTATTAATTAGTATTTAATCAGAAGTTAATTTGGAATTAATTTTGGGATTAAATGAACTGATTAAAAGTGCAGGGGCTGTTTTGTAATTATTTGATAGTTGAGGCTTTAGGTCAATGGATCACCTTATTGAGCAAAGGCCGAAAATCCTAGAAGGATCTAGGAGTTTTCGTCCAAGGCTAAAGGATAGGAGGTCCATGGACTTGCTTAGGCCCTAAGCTAAGGAATTAGGGTTTCCACCATGAAACCCTAGCTAGCCTCAAGTATAAATAGACCCCCTTAGACTCTAGATTTCGTCCACCCTTGGAGAAACCCTATTAGAGCCGAATTTTGGAGCTAGTTACCCTCCCTCCTCTTTCTTATATTCATCCTCTCACTCAAGTGTGTTTGTGAGCCATTAGAGGTACTACAATTGTGGTACTTGTTCTCAATAGCAAAGGAACTTCAATATTTAGTTGTTATTACTATATAGCAACAAAATGTATGTATTCTATTTTTTATTTGTGAATTTCGGAAATAGTAGATGCATGCTAGGTTTCCTTTTGTGTTCATTTGTTGTATGTCTAATAGTGAAAACATAGATCCAAATTAGGGTTGCATGCACACATAGGATTGTTTGTGTAAAACCCAACAGTGGTATCAGAGCCTTTGGTTTTGTTTTCAATTGGATTTGATACAAAAAGTATGAACTTGAAAAATTAGGGTTTATGGCTAATAAACCCCATGGCTTGAATTTTCGAAATTAGGGTTGTTTTGTATGCCTTTGGGGAATACGCGTTTCATTGTAGAGAGCTCCCTGGCTTCAAGTACAGACATGATTTGGTTAGGGATGTCCTGTTTGATGCTTGTCGGCGTGTTGGTATTTCTGCGAAGAAAGAAGCACCAATGAACTTTTTGACGGACCCACAGGATGGAAGATCCACACTTAGATCGGCTGGCATTTTGGTCTTTGGATGGGTAGGAGGGAAGCACGCGTGTATGGATCTTACTGGGGTCTCTCCTATCGCCAGTTTGAGGAGTGGGGGTTTCACAGCTGGGCATGCCACTTTGAAAGCCGCTGCGTGCAAAGTGGCCAAGCATGAGAATGAATGTATAGAAAATCAACATGTGTTTATATCTTTTGCATTCGATACACTTGGTTTTCTTGCACCAGAGGCGGTGGAGCTCCTCAACAAAGTCCAACGGGTCATGCATTCTAATGTTATATCTCCTAGATCTACAGATGTTGTTTTCAAAAGAATTAGTTTTGCCATCCAGAAAGGGCTAGCGGCGCAACTTGTTGCCCGTTTTCCTTCCATCGATATGTATTGAACTATATTAGTCGAATTTCGGTAAATTAATATTAGATCAAAAAGTTCTGATTTAAAAAAAAACATGGTGGAAATAAGGAATCGTAACTTTTTATGTTGTTCATTGTTTGTAGACTTGTAATCTTCATTGTTTGTAATCTTGACTGAATTTCTAGACTTGTAATCTTGATTAGTGTTTTTCCAAAGTTGATTGTTCTAATTTTTAAATATCATTTGCCTTTCTCCTAAAATCGTTAAACAGATATTGGGTAAAACTTGTTGCAACTCCTATATCAAAAACACAACCAAGGTATCATTTGATAATTGTAGAAGAAAAATGTAAAACATGATGCATATTTTGGAAATTTAGACAATTTTGACTTTCGAATGTCAAAATAGTTATTCAATTGTTGGTGGTTTTTTATGTGCGGGAAAAGTAGAAGAAAACGAAACTAGAGCACACAAAGTCGGCTGCCATAGTCATTAACAAAACTACAGGGGATGAGAAGCTATAAACTTGGTGTGAAAAATAAAAATAAA